TCTCTGGCGGTAAACAATTTAGTTTAAAGAATGGGCTTTGCATTCGGCATCTTCACAGAATCCAGGCTTTTCGAATGCATGTGCGAACCATACAATGGCTTGGAGACCGGCCAATGTGCAAGTCATCCCAGATGCCTAGTTCAAACTAACCAACCCCGGAGAATAGAAAACTTGGTTGGCTCAGGTGGATAACAGTTTGGGATCCAATCTTCGGGTCATGTGTATGCGCGTCAGTTTCCACAGCACAATACACATTGCTGTGAACTGTAGGGATAAAGCCAATACCCATTCCAACACCAACCCACTACCGATTTCAACAGTGGCTGCCCGGTGACTTTCATTTAAGCATCATCGGATCCTTGCTTGAATAGGCCGTTTCTGCATTAAATTGTTTTTACGATCTGTATCTGTGGACCACAAGTAGGTTGCTCTCCACTGACGTTATGCGTTACACATTCCACGTTACACGTCCACAGTATAGATTTTGGGTAACTGAACCAATACTTCTCAACCAAGCAGCTACGCCGAAGACCCCATGCCCTTTCTCGCTCTGAACCTCACCTCAATGTATGCTAGGAAATGAACACCTTCTGTAGTGAAAAATATTATTATCAATTCATATCATGCCACATCAACAATAAAGCCTCAGGTAAACACGCGCAAGGTAGTTGAAAGTCATTTGAACAGTATTTGCGAGAGAAGAGGTCTCTTCCTATTCGAAGTGCTTGTGAGTTGGGAAAGGCTTCGAAATCGTAAGTCTTCAGATGGAACTTGTGCTTCGATGAAGATGTTGCAGGTGTGATTTCGTCTTCGTAATTTCACAAGATGGCGTCAGATAAGAAAATCCCCAAAGCAGCGAAATTTGTACTTGGCGGATCTGCAGGGTTAGTATTATAAATACAGCTCTTCTCTTCATTACTTAGCAAACTCATCCGGTCTCATAGTATGGTCCAGAGCCTGTAAACTCACTCATACCTCTCATCGACAAATCATTCACCAAGTGCTCATTGTCTGCAAGAATCGTGGAATCACGAATATCACTAACCAAATCCCACAACTGAGCAGATGCTTAGCGGTTTTCACGAAATTTGCCTATAACGAGGCCATAGACTGTGAGCAAAGTTCTGCAGAAAGCTTTGTTGATTCGGGTTCCTTTCGGAATTAGGCCAGATCACTTCCTTTACCGTTTGCCAACTAGACCTTCGAGTCTAGATTTACACGAGAAAAATGGAGACTTCACTGTCAAACGCTCATTATTTGTAAGCTCAGTAGCGAAGG